ACAACCCACAGGAGGTAGAGGAGCACAGGCAGAGTGGACTCAGCACTAGCTGATACTACAAAAACACAGATAGAACTGGGTGTGAGCTGGAGAAGGGACAAAGAGGACACCAGGCACTGGCCTTGGTGCAGGAGCTAGTCCAGATGTCAGGAGGCAGAAGGACTTTGCTGTCTGGTTGGAGCGCATGGATGCTGAGCAGGAAGGTGAAGAGATGGGGGCTGAGCTCAAGGATGCTCTGACAAAGGTGGCATCTGGTGTCCTTGCAGTATCCTGGTAGAAAACTCTCTCTGGTCTTCATCGATACTAGAAGTCTGGCTGGCTGCCAGCTCCTCTACTGTGCTATTACGCCAATAAATACGTGTTGGCAGATCGATTAAGCCATCTAGGAACAATGTCTGGCAATGAGCTTTCTGTGCTTGGTGCAGGTGGATGGGCCCTCTCAGTCAGTCCCAAGATCCCTGCATTTGCGCTCATAGCCTAAAGCCAGCCCTGAGGGCCAATGGGCCCTCTGTGGGTCTAGTTATACTCCAGCAGGCCCGGCATCAGAGGCTAGCACAAAGCCTGTGGAGGGTGGGCAGGGAGGAGGGTCCTACTGGACTTCAGCACAGCCTCGCTGGTGCTTGCTAGCTGTGGGCAAATATTTCACCTTTCTAAGACTCAGTTTCCCCATCTATAAAATTGGGATAATCACAGCTCCGATTCATAGTGACCCTCCTGTGTCAGCCTCTCCAGTGCTGGTATTACTAGTGTGCACCACCATCCCAGTTTTGATGGCTGGTACAGCCTCCCAGGGGTTTCAGGGTTGGCACAGCTTGTGGTACCAGGGATCAAACCTGGGTCCTTGCACTTGCCAGGCAGGTGCTTAGACTGCTGAGCTATTTCCCCAGCCCAGGGCTAAATAAAAGTTTAAAAATAAATTAATAAAACAGTCCAAGGCACTGAACATGGGTGGTATCTGTCATTAACACTCCTACATCAAGCCTAGGGATCCAGGGCCCTTTGTCCCTGTCCTGGCTCTTCTCTTCTGCTATCACTCACACACCACTTACCACCCAAGAACTCAAGAGACAAAGCCCTTCTATGCGCCCTCCCACCCTCCGGGCCACCAACATGTGGAAAGAGGAGCCAGCACGAAATTCTGGAAACCAGCCTAGCAGATTCCAAAGGCCCACATGCTGTCCCCTACCCCCACCCGCCCCAGGGGCTGAACCTCACAGCAGTTGGACATTTGCAGAGACATTCCCCCATTAGCGATCAAGCGTGCCTGATTCACAGCCACAGCTGGGCCTGTCTTTATACAACTTAGCTTTTCAAAGCACCCCGCAGAGCTCTGTGGTAAGCCAAGGGCTTTGAGGGCTGGAGATGAAGCGGTGGAGGAGGAAAAACAACAGAGACAGCATGTCAGGGCCTCATCCACGTAGTTGCTGTGGAAGACAGGGTCAGCTCTCTGCTGCACTGACAGAGCCAGGCGGAGCAGACTCTCCTGGTCCTTTGGTCCCTGCCTAGTCTACGAATGTCTCCACAAAGTCCCCACTGGGCCTGTTATATAGTTACGAGCTATGTAACCTTTAGCAACTTACTCCAGCTCTCTGTGCCTCAGGGTCTTCAGGGTAAACCAAAGACTGTAATGCAGGTGTTAGCTCACAGTGTTGTTACCTGAGCACTAAGTAGTATTGCTTTAATTGCTATTATTGTTATTATTATTATTATTGCCCTAGATAATTTGAGACAGCTTATCCATTTGCCTGGATGTGGTTCTGTGTTTCTCAGCTCACTCAGAGCCCTCAGATCTGCAGCTCTTTGCAGTAAAGTCCCTGATGCTGAGCCACTTCACTCCTCCATGTAGTGACATAACTATTTCACTTGCAAAAGGTTTGACAACTTTATGTAATTGCCACAGGAAATTGCTCTGTCAGGAGCTCTTGTCCTCAACAAATACAGGCTTCAGGGTTCAGGGTGGTAAGACCTTTCTAAGTCATGCTTTTATAGTCTTAAAAAATTCAGAAATAGAAAAAGTGAAACCCGTTGACTTTGTCACAGCAGAGGAAAAGCTGCAGTGCAAGCCACCTTTTCTTTATTTCAAGAGGTGAACCCCAGAACCCTCCCCACCTCACCTACTTCATATGACAGCTAAGTCCTACCTGCTGTGTCTGCTTGGTGCTGGTGAATTTTATTATTCCCATCTGAGATAATGAGGTTAAGAGGAAGGAGTAAGAACAAGCCTGGACCTCTTGCTGAGTACTAAGGGCACAGCATACCTTGGGTCTGCATGGTGGGCCCTCCTGTGGAACTCTCTCCTACTATGATCTTTTGGGGAAGCAGGGAAGCGCTTATTCCACTGAGCCATCTCCCCATCCCCCTTTGGGGAAGCAGTCCCAGGGAATAGCCCCATCATTTTGTTCCTGAGAAAGTCTCTGAGTCTGGTCCCAGACCCCCATATGGGTCTGCATATGGGAATCTTCCATCATATCTATAATCAACACTGGCTGAGAATTCTTCTTATCTATACATTTCCACCTTGCATCACCTTCCTTGCCCAGAGCCCTCTCCCCCGGGCCAAGCTATGCTCAGCCCCCATGGATCCATAGTGACCTTTAGCTGGGTCACCTTCCCAGTCACCACCCTGGCCCTGACCTCCACTGTAGTGCAGCCTACAGTCTGCCCTCTAGTCAAGGCTTGTGCCATGTTGAGCTCTCACATGTTTTCCCAGACAGTGGCTGTCACTTGTGTCTGGAGGCCAGACTAGAACACACCAAGCAAGCCCAGGGCACCATCAAGCAGGAGACTTCACAAACTTGCGGCACAAAACAGCCTTCCTTGCTTTCCTTGCATTCCAAATTCTGCCTAACTGAAAATTCCCAGTGGAGAGGAAGCAGAACCACTCCACGTTTCATTCCCATCACACTTCTTCAGTCACCTGAGGGATCCATGAGCTCAACATGTCCAGAACACAGCTGCCCTTCCTGCCTTGCCCCTCCTGAGCAGTGCACCAGCTAAGAGATGCTCCTGATTCCAACACTCATGAGCAGCCGCTGTCTGCAACCTTGTTAGGACCTGAGTGTGGTACTAAAATCAAGTAACAGATTGACATGAATTCATAGTCAAGAGGAAGCCTACTTTGGGGGCCTAACTGGTGGCTTTGGTAGTGCCTAGTAGGATCAACATCATGTCTTTAATCCTAGCTATTACATAGTGGTGCCAACATACAAGATAACATGACAGCTAAGAAAGGGACCTGAAACTGTCCCATCTTACAGATGTATAGATTGGGTCTTGTGGTCTTAGAGTGACTCACCAAAGACACACAATCACTCAGTGTTGGAGACACAGTTGGAAATAAGGCTTTTCAGATTCCAGAGTCTTGGTATGGTAAGGTCATCCTTTTGGTGCAGTGATTAATTTTAACAAGTAAACTTTCCAGTTCCATTACATAGTGTTTGTTGTGTTTTCTTACCACTGGGGTTTGCCTGGTCCCTATGTCTATAAGAGCACTTCAGACCCTTTCCACAAGATGTTGTGATGACTAAATCTACCCTTCTCAGAACATACTCATCTGCTGCAAGATATAACCAGTTACCAAGAGAAAAATAAGGCAACACTTGCCATCAACAGCAACCTTAGTCCAGCAACTATGAAAATAAAATATGAGCAAGAATGTCACCAAGTATACCCCAGAGCTGAGCATGCCAATTACTTTTCTGTTGAGCTGTCAACAGTGAAAACCACCAACCCACCCTTTGCTTGAACAAATACAGATTTTACATGAGTTAGTGCTTTTCCTTGAGTTCTTTTCTGGAGTATTACTGTCAGTCCCTCCACCAAAGGAGGAATGTGGGAAAGGAATTAGTATGGAGGCCAGTGGATTTGGGGGGGACTCTGCAACTCTGCTCCTCATTTTTGCTTCTCTCCAGAAGCATCTGAAAGCTACCTCACAGGCATTTTCTCATCTCTCATTTAAAAGGAAGTGAATAAACTGAGTGCTGGTGGTGAGTCCTGTCTTCTGGCCCAGCAGGGGTGTGGCAGAAGGTCAGTGTGGGCAGGTGCTGGCGGGCTGGGGTGTGGAACTGAGCAACCAACTTCTGGCCCTGCTCAGCTGGGATGCAAGGCAGGACGTGCAGCTGAAGGCCACTCTGCACCCCAAGGAACTCCCTCCTAAAACCAATAATCATTTTTGTGACTATGATTTTTAAGTTGCTTCATGGGATGGTTGTGCATATTAAATATGACCTCAGAGTGTTCAGGGGACCAAACTCAACAGCCTGTGGGCTTGTCTGCAACTTGCAAAGGTGATCTGTATGTTCACAGTTTTCAGCAGCGGCTCATTTTAAGAACTGGGACAGTTCACACACTCTAGATCTTTTTGGGTACTCCTGAAAAAGTCCAAAGACCCCATAACTCAGAGATCTCACTCCCCCGAGGTAATAGCTGGAGGCGAGAGGCTGTTGCCTCTTTTAACAGATGGCTTATCAGCAAGAGCTGGAATTTCAGGGTCCAGTCCCCTTTATACAGTAAGTGGTCCCTAAGCAAGAGCCGCTATGCTCACGACTTATTACTCATCAGTAGTGGAGTGGATGGCCCTCCAACCCCGTAACTGTGCCTTGCTGTTTGTTTCCTGCTCTGCCTACCTTGGGTCACTGTGTACATTCCTATATAGCCTGAAAGATCTGTAAGGAGTATCACCATGCAAAGCCCTTCCTTATTAGGTGCCAGGCAGTCCCCTGAGCACATCCAGCCTTATCTTACATGGTCTTCATGACAGTCCTCAGCTAAATTTCCATTACCACGCCATTTTTACAGATGGGAAAAATGAAGCACAACCCCAATTTACCAAGCCTACAAGGAGGTAACAATTCCGGGCCAGGTCCTAACCACCACTGGACGCTGTGGGTTCATCCTAACTGCTGCTTCACCTACCCCTCGTGTGTCTTCCCTCCCCAGCTCTGTAAGGACAGGCAGCCTTTGCACCCTCAGCCCCCCAGCCCAGCACATTTCACACTTACGATCAAGGCCATTGATGTAGCGCATGGTGACTTCGCAGTGGCCCCAGACGGCACTCACCACCGGGTACAGCTTCTTGCCCTTGAGGCCACGGAAGGCCACGCCCAGGTACTGGCCGTCCACGATGAAGCTGAGCGTGCCCTCATCCATATCCAGCACAACAAGCAGCGAGTCAGGCAGCGCGAAGGCCTCGTCAGGACCCAGGAAGGCCGGGTACGCCACACCGGGCCGGTTCTTGCCATCGTGGTAGAGGCGGCTGCGGCCCAGGTCCCAGCCCCAGGACTCGACATCACTGCCCACCAGTGCGGTGTAGCCCACCGAGTGCAGCGGAGCACGTGCAGTGGCCACCCCCACCACCGCATGCGTGCCGCGCTGCCGCGCGGGCCAGTCAATCTGCCAGGCGTGCAGGCCTCGCGCGTGGCCCACCTTGCCACGGATGCCGTCCGTGCTCTGAGCCACTGGGTGCCGGTGGAAGGTGAGCCGGTCATCGTCCTTGACAAAGACGTTGAGGGAGCGGTCCTCTGGGTTCCAGGCATGCCGCAGCTGCACGGCAGAGCCCGCGGCTGGCATGTCCAGCAGCTGGTCCAGCCGCGCGGGCCGCCCCGCCTCTGCTCCCCGCAGCTCCCGCTTGGCCGGCCGCAGAGCGGGCTCACGCACCTCCACCGACTTGAGGCCACCAGAGAGCTTCTGGCCCATGGCTTGTCGTGCGGAGGGGACCGCTGCGGGCCACTGCTACCTGGCGGGGACTTCCACTCCCCACAGCCAGGGGTGGACTTCGGGACAGGCAATTCCGGACCGTTGACCTCCACAGCCTCTACCGGGCTGTGGCAGGGGCCCAAGCTCCTGGAAGGAAGCAAAGGTCCTACGTTATCAGAGCAGCCTTCCAGGTGTCCATCCTTACATCTATGCCCATGCCTTGGCCGAGCCCACTGACAGCATCATCATCCACATTAATTAATACTTACACTAGAACCTGCCATGCTCAGACACGGCTCCAAATGATTTAGGTTAACTCATTTAATCCGTAAGACCTCCTTAGAAAACATGAATGCTGTCATTACCATTTTACAGAGCACAACAAGGGTACGTCATCAGAAGTCCCACAGCTAATAAGTGACGGAGCCAATATTCGGATGAAGGCCATCTGGTTTCAGAATCTGCATGGTGCATTAGACCATCATAGGTAATCGCTTTAGAAATAAGGACTAGGCCTGGAAAAGGTGTAGTTTGCCAAGATGGGGGTGGGGTACAGACATTTAGGGTGTGGTTCATTGGTTCCCAAGTCTGGCTACCCTGGGGAGCTTAATAAGCAAACTAACATGTAGCGAGGCTTGAGAAGCAAGACATAGGGTAAAGGCCCAGTGAGGTGACCCAGGAAAATGGACATAAAGCAATCCTCTGAGAATAAGGTGCTGTCTCTATGGAGAATGAATGGGGCAGGAAAGGAAGGTAAGGGGCTGGTGTCCAAGCTCTGGACCCAGAAAGAGATGAATCCGAATTCCTCTCTCCCAGTTAGCTGTCTCTAAGCCCCTCAGACTCTAGGTTTCTCATGTATGAAATGGGAATCTGAGAGACAATGCTATGAAGGACTCTGCAAGCAGATTTTCCTCTCTGTGCTCTGGGTGTCTGTCACCCATGGGCCCTTCGCTTTGGGTGCACTCATACTTGTTTGGGTATTTAACCATTTACAGCAGCACTTAACCAGACACAGAACTCCAGTGTTCAAGGAGAAAGAATTGGCCACTGGAAGACCAGGCAGATGCTAGGGTTATGTGGGCTGCTTGGAAGGACCCTGGGAGTGGGGAAAGCAGAGTTGAGCCCTGCAGCCTGTGCTGAGCTGAAGCACGAACCTCCTCACCCCCATTCCAGTCAAAGGGCTACTGGACTTTGAATAACCAGTCTGAGGCAGATGAGGGGATGGGACATATTTCACGCATTGCCTTACATGTCTATGACCTCCCACCTAACAGTGGCTCACCCCAGCCAGTATCCAGCTGGGGGAGAAAAGCACCCCCACCAGCATGTGCATGGACAGCTGTAGCATGGGGATCTTTTTAAATCCTCCTATTTTACTCTCAACTCTCCATCTTTTCTTTGTTTCTGTCAAATAGCAGCTTTAGCTGATGTCAACCCTATTCAGAGAGCTCTAGCTAATATTTGATTTCAGAAAATACCAGAACACATAAAAATGTGCTTCCCTAGACAGTTTTTAGATGGAAGAATAGTTTCTCATTTTCATGTCTGAAAGCACCCAAATCAAGGAGATAGAAAAACAGAAACACAAGCTTCCACTTCAGCAAAACTAGAACACATTTGTAACCCGAAACACAGCGTTAAAGGAAAGGCTGCCAAAAACAGCCAAGGGCTGCCAAATCAGGGAAAAGGTCCGTGACAGAGAAAAACACCTCTTGAAGACACCTGTGGCTTCAGATCTAGGGAAAAGCTGGCAGTGTCAGGCAGGAGCTAGCATCCTCAAAGGGAAGAACCATGGTTTTAATCAGGATAGTGATGAGGACAACATCTCCAGTCTGGTGGTGGGAGCTGCCTCTGACCTGGTGGGGACTGAGGAGGGTAGGATTTGCAGGAAAGCCATCTTCACAGGAAGCAGTGTGTTAGTGAGGCAGTGTACATGGAGCAGGGCTTGGAAATGGGAGAGGCCCACAGCTACAGATCTCTACTGCCCAAGAAAGAAGAAAAGACTGAAGGACTCACTACCACAATCTTGGAAGCAAACTTTCTGTGAACCAGGGAGCAGTCCTGCCTTCCTAAGAATTCCTGGCACCTTCTCAATATGTGCTGCCTGTAAAATCCTGATCCAAGAAAAGTTCACCTCTTTTGAAGAGGAGCCAGCGCAATACACATTAAAATCAAAGTAATGAAATAGTAAAAGAATGGGAAAATGCTGTAGCAAATCAAGAGAATAATTTAAAAATAATAAAAAATTTAAAAAGCGGATTTAAAAAGCAGATGAAAATTGTGACTGCATGTATAAACTAATTTTGTAGTTGCGTACTTTAAAAGAGAGGGAGCTATGACTATTTAAACAAAAGGCTAAATTTGTTTTCATTGTTAGGATAACGATAACTTACAGAGCTAAAAATAAAATATAAACCTTTCAAATTGTCAAAAAGAACACAACACAAAATGAAAGACCATATATTAAAAGATTTTGTTTTAAGAAGCCATTGAAGCAAAAAGACATAAAACATGATAGTAAAACTAGGATCAAAATAGTATCTCTATCAATGAGTGAGCACAATAAACTAATAAAAATGGGAACAAGATAAGCCCCCCAAACACTTGTTACATATAAGAGACATCCTCAAGAATCATGAAAAGAAAATAGAAAAGGAGAAGAGAGGGGAAAAGGAAAAAGAGAAGAAAGAGATCCAGACAAGTGTAAATTCAAGCTAAGAAGGAAATATGACCTTAGTATTAGGCAGGTAAATCTGATTTCAGGACAAAATGTTTTAAATATGGTAAAGGAGAACTCAATAATAAAAACTATGGGAAGATAGCTCAAGGATCTAAGCATCTGCCTGGTAAGCACAAGGATACTGGTTCGATCCCCGGTACTGCATGCTGTGTCGGCCCCAGCACCTCAGGCATGCTGTGCTGGCCACTGAAACCGGGCATGGTGGCACGTGCCTGTAATCTCAGTGTTGGGGAGACTGAGATAAAATCACTAAGAATCTGAGCTGCATAGTGAGACTCTGTACCAAATAAATAAATAAAGTTTTTAAAAATTTTAAAGTAAAAACAAAAAATATGACCCTCAGTTGAAGCTTTAGAGCAAAGGCTAGAGGACTCATGAGACAGAAATACATTCGAGGCAGTAAGTTTAATTTCCCTCTTCAACTGTGTCAGATCAATGGACCAAATTAAATAAACACATAAAAAGCTAAACTTACATAATTAATAAGACAGGTCTAATTGATATACATATCAAATTCAATGCTGCGCAGGCAAGGAATAGGTATTCGTTCAGGTGCTCACAGAACCATCAAAACAAATTTCTACACACTAGGTCACAAATAAAACCTCACCCAGAAGTAAAAATAACCCATAATCTCATAACAGAAAAATGTGGAAACCTATCATAAAATTATGGATTCCAAAACCCTACCATTTGGATGTTTTTAAAAATTCTCTTTCAACAACTCAGATAAATATACATAAAAACTGTAAAATACCTAGGCAATAACAATAACAAAAAGCCATTTCATCTATTAGACTTTGTAACACACCTCTAAAGCTGTGCTTGAGGAAATCCTGGCTGGTATACTCTTGCTGGTACATTTTTAAAATAAACAAATATGAATTAAGGTTAATTACATAGAAAATGATGGAACTAATTTTTTTAAACCCAAGGGGTAATCATTTGGGGAGGAAAATACCACCAAAACTAACAGCATTTATAAACAATTGAGTCCAATCTAACTAATTATCCATCATTATTAATTATATTATTACCTAGTATATTCACCTAGCGCATGTTTGATGCGCATATCCTCAATATGACCTAATGCAGAGACATTTTACCTCTGTGGTCTTCCTTTCTCAAACCCATAATCTCAGTGGGTTTACTGTTATGAGAATAACACAGAACAAAGTCCAATTAGTGCCTTGCCTGAGGAGATACTGAGCAGTTCTCAAAACTGTCAAGGTCATTCATAACAAGGGAAGACACTGCCAGAGCCCAGAGGAGCCAGAGCCACAAGGATTCAATGTGCTGCGCTGTCCTCAATCGGACTCTGGAGAACAGAAAGAGGCTTTAGGGGAAAAGGAAGGAACTCTGCATAAAGTACAGATTTCAGTGAATAAGAATGTAGCAATATTTGTTCATTAGTTGTAATAAACGTACAACACTAACATAAGCTGTTAATTATAAGAGAAATTATGAAGTTAATGCAAAAAGAATTTGAAACCTCTCTACACTATGGATTTAGATTTTCCTGATTTTTTTTTTTTTTTTTTTTTTTTGGTGGCACTGGGGACTGAACTCAGGGCCTTGTGTACCACCTTGAGCTGCTATTTTCAGGGAGGCATCTTTCAAACCTTTGAAAGTAGCAGTCAGGAGCAGCCCAGACAGGCTCTTGGACTTGGTTTTGCCTGTTCTGGTCCAGCAAGGACACTAGGCTCTCCCTCCTGACAAGAACTTCAAGGTCTCCATCCTACTTGCAAAAGGCAGAACTCCTGAAGGGTGCTCACCCTGGGGTTGTAACGAGGTAGCTTTTACACAGATAGGGCCAGCAGCAGTGAGCTCCTGTGCTGAGGACAGGCCATTAAGGAAAACCAGCAGCAGCGCCTCAGAATGAACCTCAGCCTCTGGGCCTTGTACAAGGATTTAACCTCTCTGAGACCCATCAGAAAATGTTGCTGACTGCCAGCTCACCTTGCTTGCCTTCACAAGGATCAAGGCTGATCTGACAGCCAGGAGGCGCCCAGGACAAGGCAAGGGCTCTTCTAAATCTTGCACAGCCTCTCACACTGCCCTTGTGCCACTTGCACATGTCCTGGGAAGGGCTGAATGTCCCTAATGAATGTTCTAAATTCACACTAGGAAGGTCTTTGAAGGTGGAGCCTGGGGGTGGGGGGGTGAGCCTACCTCCTTTGTGAAGCCTCCCTGGATCCACTGGCTGGATCTCCAGGAGCTGCTACAACCTCTGACTACCCAAGCCACCAGGAGGGCATCTTTCTGGCCCTGCTGAGCAACTTTTTACTATATTGAGGACAGGAAGCTAAGGCCCCACTTCATCGTCCCTGAGAAGTGCTTCCCGTCTAAGGAAGGACCTCAGGGCTTAAAGCCAGGGCACAGCACACCTGTGAGTTGTGGGTTCAGG